GCATAGGCGCAACTAGGGTAAAAAATCTGGGGGGCTACACCCCTCCAACCAAAACTTAAAATAACCATATAAATTACCCCTGTTCATATACACCATGTTAATATATTTTAAATTCTAAGCCAAGTTGGATTTACTGCGATAAGTCTTTTTTTGTATGTGACACTATTGTGAGTTAAGTATGCTGTATGCAGTATGCCATGTATAACATGGAATATTTATGGGGGGACTAAGCCCTTCTAGCCGCCCCCCCCCCTAGTTGCACCTATATTGTCGTTACCAGTGGATTCGCGTGGTGAATTAGCGGCCGGGCCGTGGGCGTTGGAAAGAAAAAATTCAACGGGCGGAAACGCGATCTGGCTTTCACAAGTTTCCGCGCAGAACAGACGACGTGGGCCCGATCTACGTTGGAACGCAACGGGACGACGACGACGAGTGTCATTAGAGATTCGCTTACGGTTCCGATACACGTACAGCTCGAACGGCACGAGACGATCGTTTTACGGTGTGCAACGGCTCTCGTATCTCCCTGAACACAACGACCTTATTGTAACGAAATATTATCGAAATCCATTTACACACCTCTCCGGTTACCGAGACGGACTCCGAGAAGTTCACCGTCCGCCCGTGTAGTGCGCGATGTTATTACCAAACGTGTTTGCTAAGAACATGCATATATATATATATTTTTAACTGGGCAGAGCGATAAGAATTATAAAAAAAAAACCTTTCGCCTCGCACGATCAATAACAACGACAATGACATTATTTTACTACGTCCACTCTTTATTTATGTGCATTAAAATTTTCTCTTCGCCGTGGTTTTCGTATGGCCGTGTTAAAACATAATAATAATCATGTATAAATATTCAAATACAATATGCGTCGGCTGAATGTCGCGCAATCGCGGCCAACCGGTCCGACGACGACGAGCAGCGAGGCAAGTGTTCTTCTTCGTTCGTTTCTCGAACGTTTTATTTTATTTTCTCGGTCCGCCATCGGATTTTTTCCGTTCTCCGGGAAGCGGAGGAGTAGACGAGAGTGAAAAAATAATAATGTTCGCAACGAGGGGGTCGTCGACGTTTCGAGCGAGTTGTTATGTAATCGGAAGAAAAACAATTTAAGAACGGTAACAAAAAAAAAAAAAAACCTGTATCGGTTATCAATACGCCGTGTTAATAATCCCACGTAGTTTTCAGGGATTTCCCGAAGAAACGATGCATGCAGGAGTGCGTCGGATGTTGTCTACGTGCACATGTACGCGCGTGCGGTACTATCCATTCGATATTACGGAGCGCGTGCGCGTTACGACTCGACGCGGAAAATACCTCGGGCACGATGCGATTAAAAAGTAATAGGGAGCGAAAAAAAAACCACTTTCCCCGACGAGCGATCCGCTTCATAACAAGTATTACGCAACACGTTCACTGCTATTACTACTATTTACTGCACGCAACGGGACATTAGTCGTACGACGGCGGCGGCAATAACAACACGGGCATCGCGTAAACGTCGGACCGGCAGTTGAGCACGTATTCGAAGGGTCCGTAAGCTCCCCGTATTGTCTACTCGACATTTTTCCGTCCGAAAACCGTTCGTAATCGAAATGCAACGCTTTTAAGTTTAAAAGACGATTGAAAGTAAAAGTTTCTTATTTTGTTTTTCGCCTACCGACACGATCGCACGGGAAACTGTTCCCCGATTTCGGGGATCGTGTTATTCGTTTGTTTTCCATCCCATCGAAAATTCAATGTCGTCCATGTGACTGCGAACAACTGCGCCGATGGCGCGTAGGAAATGATTGCAAATAATGCACGTCGTTATACAATATTAAATACGTTGTATACGTATCCCACCCCTCCCCTCTGCCGAAAACCCACTCCTTGTAGCGCACGTGTAGAACCCCGCGAGCAACTACACTCGTTCGGTTACGCGACCATTCGGCAGCCCACACAATGGCAACGCGAAACGGTACTCCGTGTCCGCACGCACCCGCCCGCCACGACGATCACGTTTCGCGGCACAGAAGAAGAAAGCGGCCGGTGCACGATCTCGCGCGAGCAACTCCGAACGGGGTAATGAGCCAATCCGTTCACCACCTACCAGTGGCGTATATAGGGGGGGATAGTGGGCTACAGCCTCCCTCCCCCCGAAATGTTTTAAAAAACTTGAAAATTATTTTAAACGTTTATTATATTTTAATGGTGCTTTATGCTTATTTAGAATTTGCGTCCAACGTCAAATCGTTTTGGGACATTCTGTGTATAAAATGTAGTTAAGTACCTACTGTTTCTTGTTAATAACTCTAAGATAGCAGTGGTAATTTAACTCTGTCCATAGTAGCCCCTCCCGAAAATATTTTCTATATACGCCACTGCCACATTCGTCGGCGAATTTTTTAACACCACCGCCACCGTGGTGTACCGTGAAACACGTTACGACACGTCGCATCAGGGTTGTTATAACGGTACCGTCAGACATCGGTTCCATCGTGCTGCAGAACGTACACCCTACTCGGCGTTTTCGGCGACGAGCACTTCGTACAGTGCCCAAATCATATTCGATCATCTGCACAGCCGCTGTAGATCATTCGGACGGACGACCATAAAATATAAAAAATATATATAAAAATAATCAATAAAATGTTCCCGAGTTTTTCTTCATACGCTTTTCATCGTGTATTATACTTCCATTGTCTCGTTACGATAGGTTTTGTATAAACACTTTACACAATTATTTCCGACAGTGGACAGTGTTTCCATAAACGGATTTTTTAGGATTTATTTTTATTCGAAAACGTAATCGAACACCGTACACGGTGGTTTCAAGTGGAGACGAAATCGACAAAGTCAAAATACACAAATTCGTAGTTTTATCGATATATTTTTTTTTTATTATTACTTTTTCGTTTTCACTATCAACCAGACACACATGTTATAATATTAATAATAATAAAAGTAATAAGAATAATACAAAACGGGTTCGGTCAAATGACACAAGGATATAATAATAATAATTATAATAATAATAATAATAATAATAATAATTAAGTACAATTTCGACAAAAACAAAACGACAGAACATACATATACATATATAAGAAAAGTCATTTGTATACAAGTATTGAAAAGTTTTCGTTTTCATCATTACCAAAGTCCGAGTGTGGTTTTACATCTTTTACGTCTAACAGAACTGTATAAGATAGTGTAGCCAACGACGGCGACGGCCGTGTACATAATAATAATAAATATATCTGTATAATATAGAAAAAAATAAATACAAATAAAAACTCAAAATAATATAATCGATTTTTAAAAAATATTAAAAGTACAAAAAGAACGACTGGGGATGAACGTTCCGCCAAAATAATAAATTAATAAATTACGATTCTATATTATAGTAAATACGAACTTAATACGCGAATACAATCAAATCGATAAATAAGTCACACTACACGACGAGTACATTTATGATGGGCGAGAGCGAGGTCAGTATATAAATACATATATGTATACGCATACGTGTATATGTATTTACATACGTAGATTTAATTTTTGTTTTTAATTTAATCGAGCGTAGAACGCTTTCCTGGGAGAGGAGCGGGAAATCGGTATACACGTAAATAGTG